AGCGGTTTTGGCCTGATTTCAATACGCCTTAAATTATGCAGGATCTGTAATGAGTGTGTGTAGAAGAAGCCCCTTTTTCAAGATGTGCACATGGAGGTGCTAAACACATTAGATTTGCCCCTGAGACATTCTTCATGACGGTTTAATCAGACTAGTGGCAAATGAGTGAAGCACTCGTCCTATCTCTAGATACTCTACTGTTCAGAGATTAATAAATCACACAGCAGGTGTGTGTGTGTGAGTGTGTGCACATGCGTGTGTGATGCATGAGAAAACGTGTGTGAGAGGCTTGTATGTATGTGTATGAGAGAGATTGTGCGTGTATGTGTAAGAAAGAGGGAGAAGTGTGTGTGGGTGTGTGTGTGCGTGTGCATGTGCTTGCGTGTGTGTGTGTTTGCATGACTTTGTACATATGCGTTTGTGACTGAGATCTGTGAGTGTAAGACACTCGTGTCTGCGTGTATGTGTAAAAAAGAGGGAGAAGTGTGAATGTGCGTAAGTGTGTGTGAGTGGGAAAAGGAGTTTGTGTTTGTGCGCGAGTGTGCGAAAATGTTTAAGAGAGACTGTGTGTATGTATGTGTAAAATAGAGGGAGAAATGTGTGCGCGCGTTTGTGTTTGTGAATGTGAGAGTACATGCATGTCTGTGTGTGAGTGTGCAGGCGTGTGAGTATGTGTTTGTGTGTGAGAGTGTGTTTGTGTGTGTGCGTCCATGCATGCGTGCGTGCATGCTTGCGTGTGTGTGTACATGCAATTGTGAGTTTGAGACACTGTGGGTATGTGTGCGTGTGCGTGCGTTTGTCTGTGTGTGAGTAAGAGAAAGGAGTAGAGGGAGTTTTTGTGTGTGTTTGTGTGTGTGTCCATGCTTGTGAGTTTGTGTGTGGGTTTGAGCATGAGAGAGAGTTTGTGTGTGAGTGCAAGAGAGAGTATTTGAACATGAGTGTAAGTGTGTGTGAGTGGGAGAGAGTTTGTTTGTTTGTGTTAATGTTTAAGTGTTAAGAGGGACTTTGTGTGTGCGCGTGTGCGTGTGTGTGTGTGCGTGTGTGTGTTTGTGTTTGTGAGTGTAAGAGTATGTGTGCGTGTGAGTGCAAGTGTGTGAGTTTGTGTTTGTGCGTAAGAGAGTGTGTGTGTGTGTGTGTGTGTACATGCAATTGTGAGTTTGAGACACTGTGGCTGCGTCCGAAATCGCATACTTTTATACAATAAAGTACGCTAAAATCAGTATGCGATCTGAGTAAAACTCTCAGTACGGTTATGGCCGTTTCCACTGTAAAAAGGTACCTAAAAGCGAACCGTACCATACCAGTTTTTGGGCACCCTTTGCAAAGTGTCTCTAGCACAACAAAAGTGTACCAAAAGGCAGAGCTAGACGCGAAACTGAAAGCTATTGGTTTACAGAGATACGTCACTCGCACTTACACAAGCAGCAGAATGAAAACAAAAGAACCGGCATGTTTTAAATACACATCTGAGACATTACATTTTAATACTATATACATATTATAACGAGCCATGGTCAACCCGAGCTCAGACAAACCTTGTCATCATCTTGAAGTGCAAACCACAAAGCCAAAAAAAACTAAATCTGCTGTGTCCTGTTTTTGTTTTACGAGGCCGTCTAAAAGAGCGAGCGGCTTTACTTTCTCCAGGGAGCTCACAATCTCATCTATATTTGAAATAACAAACTTCTTGAGCTGATGATAATAACCAGGGGCCTCATGTACGAAGACTTGCATGGAAATCTTACTAAAACATTGCGTACGCACAAAGCTGTAAATGTGCGTACGCATAAAAAAATTCAGATGTATGAAACACTGCGTACGCCGAATCTCACGCATATTATTTTGTACATCCGAATGAACGTGAAACTGAGCGCAACATGCACGAGCACAAAACCCCTCCCTGCCTCCTCCCCCGTATGAATATGCTAATGACTATGCTAATGGCAAAACCCAACGAAAAAGCAACGGCAAAATCAAGCAAAAAGAGAAACTTTGAACAGAATGTGAAATGGAGGTGCTGCTTTCGGAGGTAGACCGGAGGAAAGCGGTGTTATTTGCAAGTTTGTTCTCCGGAATTAACAACAAAAGAAAAAATATAGAGTGGGAGAGTTTAGCTGATGTGGTCAACACAGTTGGGTCTGAACATCGCACTGGGTGCATTAAAAAAAGAAATAGTCTGGTTTATATCTGTAAAATGTTGCAGTTCCCTTAACAGTCTCAGTGGCGCACCTCGTAAGACGCATGTGATCATGTACTGACACGTTTGAGCATAAACTCGGCTCGAATCCAGCGTCTGATGAACTCTTTCTTCTTTTTTTCCCCGCTACATATCAGATTTTGCCCACTATTTATCATGAGAAAGACAAGTAGGAATCATCAATAAGTTTGTGCATCATATTTTATTTGCACATTTATTGAATTGAAATGTTTATGATTCACGCATGCAAATTCATCTTCAGATAGTGTCTTTATAGCAATGTGCGTGCAGTAGATTGCTCAGATTACATTGGGAAAACAGGCGACTGCTGCAAATTGTGCTTTAATGTTTGGCTGGTCAACTGTATGGTATGGAAACCTTACATACCTACTAGATGAACCCGTCTCATACAGCTGCCATTGCAAGGCTCAGACACTTTGTAGAGAGGAATTTAACACAACTACCTCTAGGAGTCGCCAATGGAAATAAAACAGACACACACAAAAAATGTGCGTACGCCTGCCAGAAAGCTGCCGTGAAGCTGCGCACATTCCCACGTTCAGTTCATTGTTAGTAAATCCAAACGTGAGCGATTCTGAGCGTGAAACCTGGCGTACGCAAAGTTTTTGTGCGTACGCAGCGTTGATACATGAGGCCCCAGGGCTTTACATTAACATCCGTCAACCTGCTAAATGCGGCTAAATTTTAGCTGGGGCGGGTTAGACAGCCCCTTCCACTAGCCACTTTGGCTGGTTGAAAATTTATTTTTAATTGTAGTTTTCTTAAAAATAGGGTTCAACAATAAGGATGGCCCAATATTCGTGCAAATGCGATCTTAGAATCTAGAAGCAGCATGACTAACAAATAAAATTTTGTTCGTGCTGGCAATAGAAAGCCAGTTGAATACCAAATGAGAGAATAATCACTTGCGCCAACAGCGCATGTGATGCGTGATACTTAACTGCAGTATTTTTTGAGGAGAACTTTTACCAAAAAAACCCATAAGGGTGCTGTCTATCCAGAAATTTATTTAAAAAGTAGTGCCCAGATGTGGGAACGAAAATCATTTTCTAGCCACTTTTTCTAGGTTCACCTTATGGCCTAACTGTTAAAACATGCGCGCATTTGCTTTCTTTAAACAACCGTGCCTGGAAACGCAAGGGGTGTGATTGTTTCTCTTTCAAATAGACCTGACAAAAAGTTTTGTTCATGCAACCACAGTCCTGTTGGTTTCAAGAGCTTGAGATTGGTCTTTTTGTAAGCAGCACCGGTTGCTTTCGTTTAAACTATTTTTTTGTACAGGTTAAACTAGAAATATAAGTATAGTATACAGCTAAATTTTGCTTGTTTTGACACATTATTTAAAATTTGTGGCTAAGAACTAATTATTTATTTATTTTTAGTGTGGTTAGAGATAAATTTGGTAAATCCTTTGAGCTCTGAAAAGTCATGTGAAATAAAAACTAACTGTGATAAAACACTATGAAACCATGACCCATGTGCTCATGCTCACTGAACAAGCTCATACACAACATACACAAAAAGTCAAATAAATTAAGAGGCATGTGGACTTACCACAAAATCTAAATTAAGTCATTTTAGCATGTCAAATTCATATTTATGCATAAAAATATATTTTCCCAACAACAAAATTGTGGCTAGTGAAAATGGCGAGTGGCTAGTAATGTTGGAAAACTACTAGCCACACTGGCAGGTGTTCAAAAAAGTTAATGTCAAGCCCTGATAAAAACGTGTGTGTGATTATCGAAGTGCTTCTGACATCTGATCCTTTCAGAAACGGACAAACACAGGAGTGACAAAAGAAAACACGAAAATACAAAACACACGAAAAAACAAAGAAACGAACGAATCTTTCAGCAGCCTAAACCATGAACAAACTACCATGTTTATCATCCCCTTTTGGACTATTATGAACTCAGAATGACGGAATTACTCTCTAACAGTGTTTATATGTGCTGGCGAAGATTAAAGATACAGATGAGAGGTTTGCTCTGAGTGTGGGCTATATGTTGCGTGTTGTATTTGAACCCAAATAAGGACTAAATATGCTGCGTGTAGTTTTTCTGTAATCTCTTGGCTGTGTATGAACATGGTGGTTCTTTTGTTTTCATTTTGGCTAGCTCCACACGTGCTCGTGACGTATCTCTGTAACCAGTCAGCGTTCAGCTGCGCTTGTAGCTTCACCTTTTGGTACCCTTTCTCGTGTTTGGTACCCTTTTCGAAAGGGTGCCGAAAAAGTGGTACAGTACAGTTCAGTTCGGTACACCATTTGACAGAGGAAACGGCCATACAAGTGTACCAAACCGAACCGTACCGTACCACTCAGTGGAAACCGGTTATAAGGTTCTGTATGTGTTCATATATGTTGCATTTATTTATTTATTTATTATATATAATCACAGACGTTACAGTAGGCTTTTTCACACATCATTGATCTGCAGTTATAATCAAATCATGTTCATAAAAAGTTAGTAATAAATATTTATACACAAGTATTTATGTGTTTAAAGCATCTGTTTTGTGAGAAGTGTTTCTCATATGATATGTGAATGACCCTTACAGCTTTACTGTAGGCATTTCCCTTAGCGAGAATGATGTCGACTGAAACTTTTTGTCGTACTCCACGCCCACCAAAAGGTACCCTTTGTACCCTTTAGGCAGTGTAAACGCAATGATAAAGGTGTACCGTTCTGTACCAGTCAAAATGGGTCATAATATGCTCCACAAAGATGTTAACTGCCATGAGCAATAATATTTGTCTTTGTGTGTCTGTGTTTTCCAGGTCTTCGTAAATGAAAAAGTGTGATGAAGAGCATCTGCTCTGGCCATTCCTCCTCTCAGTTCCTCTCTCCTAAAACACTGTCTCATCATCCTCAATCAGCCCTTCCTGCTTTAGACAGAATTGGAGAACCAGCTCCCTGATTTCCAGCTCTGGACAAAACGCAGCCGCTCCGACACACTCTTCCACAGTGGCTGCAAAGCATATCTAAACAGAAAGCTCTAGTGTTTTGAAGGGTGTTGTGCGTGTGTGTGGTCCATGCTTTTGAGTTTGTTCACATGTTGTGGTTCACTGAGTTCCAGCTCTGTATGTATGTGTGTGTGTGTGTGTGAGGTCATTGTGTGCTGTTTACTTTCACTCAGGATTTGCACAATAAAAACGGAGAGAGCTGAGAGGTGGAAAGTGGGCGCGGAGCATAAATATAAAACAAAGTGAGACGACTTCTTGTGGTAGTCAAAAATAGAATCAAGGAAGTGTTAAATATAAACTTGAGAAAGAATTCGAGCTTTCTGGAAGTTGTTTTGTGTTGTAGCGTGATGATGGATTAGCTATGGTTCCATCCTAACCTAAAAGAACACTCCACTTTTTTTGGAAATAGGCTCATTTTACAACTCCTCTACAGTTAAACTGCTGAGTTTTGCCATTTTTGAATCCATTCAGCTGATCTTTGGGTCTCGAGGGAGAACTTTTAGCTTAGCTTAGCATAATTCATTTAATCTGATTAGACCATTAGCATCTAGTTAAAAAAGTTCATAACATTTTTCTAATATTCCTGCGCATTGATTTTGCACAGCATCTGAAAATAGTTCTGAATCATCTCTCACACATCACCACGATTGCAGCGATCACTACAATTGTATTTTCAGGTGCTAATATAATTGCTCCTGCTGCAGCAAAGTTCCTTGATTATTATGCCGGAATTAGCGTATAGTTCGTAGACATATCAGCCTAGATCATTTTCCCTTGGTCTTAGTACACAATGTAACCACAGAAGCTTTAAATAGGAAATTTGTCAAACCCCTTTGGTCATTTTTGAACAAGATAATAGTCTAATCCGATTCCATGATCTATGCTAAGTGGAGCTAAGAGCGCTCCTGCCAGACTCAGAGATCGGCTAAATGAATTCAAAAATGGTAGAACTCACCTGTTTAACTCTATGCTGTAAAAAAAAATCTGTAATTTTGCGGCTTATTTCCGGCACCCCAAAAAACGTAAAATAACGTCCGTTAAATTACAGAAATTTACAGTAAAATAACGGATGTTTACAGAAATTTCCTTAAATTTAAATTTCTGGTAAATTTCTGTAATTTAATATCCGTTATTTTATGGTAAATTTCTGTAATTTAATATCTGTTATTTTAAGGTAAATTTCTGTAATTTAACGGGCGTTATTTTACAGGGTTTATTTCCGGCACACTAGCTGCGGAAATAAACCGTAAAATTACAGATTTTTTTTTACAGCGTAGGTGACTAGTAAAATGAACCCATTTCTGGAAAAAGTAGAGTTTATCTTTAATTTGTATGAAAAAATGGAATACCACAGATATAATTAGCAATTAAAGCTTTGTTTCAATTCCATGTGTTGAGAACAAAATAATCACGTCCCTGTAAACTGGTGCAATAAATAATCAATGTAAGTCACTGCAACCAGGGAAACCGCTGTAGCTTTATTTGACTGAACAAATGATGTTATGTTATCTTGCGTCGACGATTGGGAATGGACTCTCATTTGATAAATGTATTCCCATCATTGTTTATTCATCTCTTCATCATTCTATTACAAGTGTTTTATTAAATATTGAAAGGTGTTTTGTGCATCTTATTTGAATCTGTTTTTCATTTTTTCCTCAAAATGTGCATAACATGTGGATGGAAACATAGCTAGTGCCACTGTTTTTTGGTTCTGTAATCTAAAGTGTTGATATCTATGCAGTGATCCCAATATCACTGTATTTAGACACTTAAAGTGATAGTTCACCCAAAACTGAAAATTCGGTCATGATTTACTCACCCTCCACTTCGTCAAACAACAGTTTGACTTGCTTTTTGTCTGTTGAACTGAATTTTGGAAACCGTTAGCCATTAACAATATCATCCTATAGATGTCAATGGCTGCTTTTTTTCCAGCATTCTTCTAAATATTAGTTTTTGTGTGTTCAACAGAATAAAGAAACACAAACACAGTAAGTGAGTACATTTGTATTTTTGAGTGAACTATCCCTTTAACATTAAAAATGTACAGTGCATCTGGAAAGCAATCATGGCACTTTACTTTTTCCACATTTTTTTGTTACAGCCTTATTTCAAAATGGATTAATTTATTTCCTCAAAATTCTACACACAAAACCCCATAATGACAATGTGAATTTTTTTTTTAAAATTGTTGCAAATTTCTTTAAAAAAAAATCCTGAAAAATCACATGTACAGAAGTATTCACAGCCTTTGCTGTTAAGCTCTAAATTGAGCTCAGGTACACTCTGTTTCCACTGATAATTCTTGAGATGTTTCAGAAGAGTTCACTTGTGGTAAATTCAGTGGATGGGACATGATTTGAAAAGGCATACACCTGTCTATATAAGGTCCCAGGGTTGACAGTGCATGTCAAAGCACAAACCAAGCATGAAGACAAAGGAATTGTCTTTAGACCTCTGAGACAGCATTGTCTCGAGGCACAAGGCTGGGGAAGGTTACAGAAAAATTTCTGCTGCTTTGAAAGTTCCAATGAGCAGAGTGGCCTCCATCATCCATAAGTGGAAGATTTTGGAACCACCTGGACTCTTCCTAGTGCAGGCCGGCTATCTAAGCTGAGTGATCGGGGAGAAAGGCCTTAGTCAGGGAGGTGATCAATAACCCGATGGTCACTGTGTCTAAGCTCCAGCATTCTTCTGTGGAGAGAGCAGAACCTTACAGAAGGACAACCATCTATGCAGCAATACCCCAATCAGGCCTGTATAGTAGAGCGGCCAGATGGAAGCCACTCCCTACCTAGAATTTGCTAAAAGGCATCTGAAAGACTCTCGGACCATTAGAAACAAAATTCTCTGCTCTGATGAGACTAAAATTCAACTCTTTGGAGTGAATGCCAGGCATTATGTTTGGAGAAAATCAGACACCGCTCATCACCAGGCTAATGCCATCCCTACAGTGAAGCATGGTGGTGGCAGCATCATGCTGTGGGGATGTTTTTCAGCAGCAGGAACTGGAAGACTAGTCAGGATAGAGAGAAAGATGAATGCAGCAATGTACAGAGACATCCTGAATGAAAACCTGCTTCAGAGTGATCTTGACCTCAGACTGGGACGACGGTTCATCTTCCAGCAGGACAATGACCCATAGCACACCACCAAAATATCAATGAAGTGGCTTCACAACGACTCGGTGAATGTCCTTGAGTGGCCCAGTCAGAGCCCAGAACTAAATCTTATAGAACATTTCTGGAGAGATCTGAAAATAGCTGCACACAGTCACATTTCTGTTTTCACTTTGTCATTATAGGGTATTGTCTGTAGAACTTTGAGGAAATTAATAAATATGATCCATTTAAAAAAAAGGCTGTAACACAAAAAAAAAAAAAAAGTGAAAAAGGTGAAGCGCTATGATTACTTTCCGGATGCACTGTACATTTCATCAAATATGAAACACTTGTGAAATCACCTAAATAACAAAGTGATTTGTTTGTTTGCAGATGCTTTGCTTGATAATTTAGGAACACTTTACAATAAGGTTTTATTAACATTAGTTAACAGCAATAATTAAGTTGAATACTACATTTAATAATCTTGAAAGTTGAATTCATTCTTTGCACATCTTTACACAACCTTACAAAACATAAGATGTTTTTACTCATTGTTTTCTTATTTCTCCGTTGGAAGTATATGTACCCAAATCTCTGACGCTTTAAAATATTTGTAAATAGATCAAAAAATAATTTCACATGCATCAAAGATTGCTTAATTACCAATTGCTAATTCATTAACTAACATAAGGAGCAGCTGTATATTTATTAAGTGACTAACAAAGGATGTCATGCCTAAAAAAAATGTGTTAACATGTTAACATTAGCACTAATTAATGAAACCTTACTCTGAAGTGTTTCTGATATATTTTTTGCGTGTAATCCAATTATATTTGTGTAGTTTAAGTGTAAATTAAAAAGATAGTCCACATAAAATGACTTATTTTTGTCATCTTTCTTCTAGATACACTGGAGAATGCTGGAAAAAAAAGTCATTGACTTTGTGTGTTTTTTGTACTATGGATGTCAATGGCTGCTTTTTTCCAACATTCTTCAAAATATCTTCTTTTGTTTAACATAAAAATGAACGTTTACCATTTGAGTGTGAGTAAAAGGTGAGGTGTCATTTTTTTGGTGAACTATCCCTTTAATTCATGAATGTTTTTGGGTCACTGTACATGCCCGTCAGTATTTGTAATCCTCATAATCATCATTTATTGCACAACATGCTTTTATAGATCACAAACTATTTAGGCTTCCTAGTCTCTCACTACGATTCCTACATAACCTCACTCTGTTACATTTCATTGTTGTTTTATAGGTCTAGCTGATATAATTGTAACATAAAAATGGTTCTTTGGTATGAATGGTGCTTGTAATCAAATATCAGTCAACAAATGTCCTTAAGTGAATATGAATAATGGTTGAGTGTCTGTCAATGTCCTTCAATGTAGATGCAGAACTACTGTAACTGTTTGATGGAAACATAAACCTTAAAGCACAAACTGATATTGGCATGTTCGGACGAGTGGCAGTGTGTTTCTTTTTAAAATGAGATGTGAAGGCCAAAGGTCAGTATAACCTTCATACATTACTCATTCAGTGGTTGAGTGGCTTGTTTGTGATCCCAGATGTTTCATATCATGAGACTCATGTACTGTATTTAGTCTGATGGTAAAGGAAGTGGGCAAAATGGTGCTCTTAAAGGAATAGATCACCTATATTGCTTCGTTTTTCAACCTAGAATGAAAAAGAAGAACTTTTGAAGAATGCTCACGCTGCAAATTTCCATTCAAATAAAGCATGCAAAAAAAATAAATAAATGTATAGGGGTAAGTGCTTTCATGATGAACATTGTAACCCCAGGCCACACCAAGCCAACGTCAAAGAAAATAGTGACAATGAAAATCGACTGTGTCTGGACCAAAAGCTGCACATGAACACTAAACGGATGAGAGTTACATTCTGTTTCTGTGTAAGAGGATGTATCTTTTCTCCCCTGCGGGTGGCAGTAGTGTGTATTGTCATTCCACAAAGGGAAACCGTAACTATACTGTAAAACAAATACGTAGTTTTACGATTAATTTCAGTCAGCTGGGGTGCTGGAAAAAAACGTAAAATAACGCCTGTTAGATTACAGAAATGTA